CCCACCTCTCACCCAATGTCAGCTGAGACTTGCAGAGACATTGCTCTTTGCAGCCCTCTACAGAATAAAACACATAAATAAACAAAGAAAAAGATGTGAAAGCTAACTCAAAACATGTAGTGGTGCTTTAATACTGGATATGAGAGTGCTGATTTCAACTTCTTTCTTTCCTTTAGCAAACTGCCTGTATGTATACATATATATACAGTATATATAGACTGAAAAATGAAATGCCCTCATTTTAGTATGTTCACCTTGAAGACACAACAGAAAACAATTAAGACAGCTTCAGATTATTTGTATCTCTGCCAGTGTCTATTAATACCTCTGCCCTGGTGCAGTTTGCCCTATGTATTCTCCCCCATGCCTAAAGTAGGAACTAAACTCAACACCAACGGAGTAAAAATAGGGCTACCGTAATTTCCAGACTAGTGAGCGCACCTGAATATATGTCGCACCCACTAACTTTAAAAAGAAAAAAAAAGTTCATATATAGGTCGCCTTTGTCTAAAAGCCGCAGGTGTCCACGTTGTAACATGAGATATTTACACAGAAAGATGTTACACAGAAAGATTTTTTTAAACTTTTAATTAAATACGAACCGGCAACATACACAAATACGTACCGTGAATGCTTTTTTTCACGGACAATGCCTGTAACGGCTGATTAAAAAAAAAAAAGATGCTGTAGCCTACCAGGAAAAGTCATTGATCGCTATCTTCATCTTCCTCCTGCGCACTAAAACCACTAAAGTCTTCTTCTTCAGCGTCGGAATTAAACAGCCTCAGAATTCCTTCGTCACACAATGTCACTTCCAAATTTGTAAAAATTTTAAAAATCCATAAATGAGCTGCTTCATTGTTTATGTCGCAGTGTTCAAAACGTGTGAAAAAAGTAGCAGCTTATAGTCCGGAAATTACGGTATATGTTGGATGATTTGCAACACAATACATGTATGTGTAGGCAACAATAAAACAAACATTTTATTTGGTATTGTTGAACAGTTTCTCCACTACAGCAACATATACAGTACAAAGCAAGGTATGCTGTTTAAACAACCTTGTACACAAAGAAAGCACAAGTCTTTGTTTTGTATAGAATTAAGGCACATTTTAAAGCCAGAAGTACCATTAGTCCTTATAAAAGCAAAATCAATCAATTATCGTTTCACAATATGTTAAAAGTTCAAGTAAAATGTCATTGAGCTCTGAATTGATAAGGAACTGTAACATATTCAGTGCTAAAAATACTATTTCGTTTTGGTCTTTTGTGGTCTGAGACATTGTCAGGATGTACAGATGTATTTTCAGCTTTGTGTGGAGCCTACGCCATAGATCAATAAATACAGCAATCTGTATAAAGCATAAATATTAAAAACAAAACAAAAAAACAAGGGCTGGTACTGTGGTAGATGATTACATTAAACTTCTCAGAAAACAAGCTGGTGTGTGTAAAACTCACGACTGCAAGAAGATCAGTGCGACTAAAACAATGTAACTTATATTTGAGTTTCGTACAGCAGTGTTTAACTTAAACAGATTTACCGTCTATGTTGGACACTTAGTGTTGCAAGCATCACCTGACTTAAAAAGTCCGTAGACACTGACCAGTGGGAACATAGAAATAGCACCGAGCATGGAGCCCAACTGCACTACAGCTCCGCACCACACCAGGGCGCTGTGGCCCTCGTCCCTCAGAATCACTCCAATGATGACCTTCACATAGGAAAGGGACAGGACAAAGAGGATCCAGGCCAGCACCTGCACCAGAGAAGAGGTCAGTTTTGTGCATGAAATGACATTCTGTCCCTGGGTACAGAAATAAATAAGACTGCAAAGTGTCCTGGTCTGACTTCTACATGTTAGACGACTCAGCAACTTCCAGTTCTAGCCGATATAAAGTGGTTGGAACAAGAAGCTTTCACACTAAATCACTTCATCGGGTAGTTCAATCTCTCAGGCTGGTACTGCCATTTAATACCTTCTTATTTAAACAATGTTTTTACCTCTTTAGTAGTACTTTTTGAATGCCACTCATTGTTTTATTCTGTGTTCTATTTTTAATTTTTTTAATGTCTGAAAACATTTTTTTTGTTTACTGTTTAGTAATTTATATTAAACTAACACCCAGTACAAAAACATTTACACATAACCTAAAAGATATTCATAACTACCTCTCTGTCTCTCGCTGCTCTGTGCAACACTATGCACGTAAAACTGAAACCAAGAAAAAGCTTTCGTGAGAGCATGCGAGTCCCTTGACTTTCATAGCAGTTACATTGCAGCATATTGTCTGAATCAAGTCAGACAAAACTAAGTTGACTTGACTTGATTCTAAAACCTGCCAATCACACCACACTCCCAAATCAGAACTCATACAAGCACTAAGTGAGTTCGACAAGTGGTTGGTACAGTCATTCTTTTACAAGGTGCAGTACCATTTACAAGATAAAGCCCAACCTAAACAAACAAACAAAAAATATTTCTATGTAGAACTATATACATATACCAGACAGAGGAAGAAAAAAAAAAAAAAAAACTTTAAAAGAAAGAGTCTTACTATGACTACAGTTCCAGAAGTACTGTAGACCAGCAAAGGACAGGGACTGAGAGCAGCCATAGCCATGATGTAGGCTCCAAATCCAGTCCCAAATGTGGTCAAAAAACCCATGAACACAAGAGACCTGGAAACAAAGTTCAATGCATGGTTTAGAATGGAGCATTTCATGTTTATGTCAAAAAACACACACAGTTGGTAGTTTAGTACTATTAGTGACCTGCAATAATTCCAACTGAATGTATTATGTGTCATGCCATTTTTGACGCACAAGAATGCATGACTGTTTCATCAAATAATCACTGAGATGTTTCTATTTCTCACCTTATTGGCACAAACATGGCGATGAAGCAGGCCACAGGGTTAGCAACAGCAGCCATGGTGGCAGCTAGATGGTAGGCCTTGTTCCCGTAAGGCAGACACGAGTAGGACTGCACTGAGGGCAGGACTGCGTTGGTCAGAGCGTTGACCCAAGCCAGTACAACAAAGATGAACATCACCTCCAAGCTGCTGTATGTCCCCCTCCCGAAAGAGCTCCTGGGTTCTCTTCTGGCAGCCTCCAGGGGACTGATCATTGGCTTCTGCTCTGGTGTCTGGGCATGCAGGGACAACCCTTGTTCTCTCTTCTCACGCTCCAAATCCCCACCAAAGTACCGGTCATTGTTTCTTTCCCGAGCGACTGCTGGGTGGTGGTTGAGTAGAATGAAGGCTATCAGGCACACAACCATCATGGCACTGAGGAACACGAAGAAGACCTGGGCAGAGAATTTAGCCGGCTGGTAGATGGCTTCTAGCTTTCCACTGTCAACCAAATTGTCATCTGTTTTGTTCCCAGTCAAAGTGGCATTCTGACAGTGGACGACGCCAACACCTTGAATCAGAGCCACCAGTGCGGGCACCAGACCACTGAGGCCTTCACCTGCAAAATAGGTGGTGAGATATTGTGGACGCAGCCTCATCATGAAAGGAAGGAAGGTAACTGATGAGGTGCAGTCCACCACAGAAAGCAGGAAGCTTAACATCAACAGGGCCACACTGTGCAAAGAGCCCGCTACCGTCACCGTGTGCTTCCAGAAGAAAGCCAGCAGGAATGTAGCAACGATACCCAACCCTACAATGCAGTAGATGACCGGCCGCTCGTCCAGCGCCCCAGGGCGGAAGCGGTGCATCAGGGTGATGAATAGCGGACCGATGTTGGCCATTTGGATGAGGACTGTGAGGTAGGAGGGCAGGTACCAACCCTCTGGGATCTCAGGTACGATAAGGGGCAGCTCAACCCACATCCCGTTGATGGCCACCCAGGAGCCCATCCCGAAGAGGCACGCCAGCACATGAGTCAGCAGCGACATAATGGAGGCAGCAATGAGGTAAAGCAGGAAATGTAGATGTACACAATCTGAAACATATTAACATAAGAAAGTTTAGTTAGTAAAATGTAAAGGATCACAGTTTATACTGATTTATATAGCTCTGGTTAGATCAACATTGTGATCAGTGTTTGCTTTGGTACCTGAGACTTTCTGTTTTATCCAGCTCTAGTGCAATGTCTGTCTTTCCTGTGTTATTGCTTTGTCATGCACCAGTTATCAGAAAATAATTTGATAAGATAATGTATTCAATTCTTTATGTGTGTTCTGTTTAATAGGTGTGACTATACAGTCTATGGTTCCATATGGTTCCAAAAAAAATAAAAAAAAATAAAAAGTGAGCTTTTACAAGATTGAATTTCCCTTCTGGGATAAATAAAGTATTTTCATTTCATTTCATATCCCAGGGACAGTATTTTAATTATCAAAAAAATGGTAACATTTGAAGAAATTACTTCAAAGCTAAAACAGTGGCTAAAGCAGCTTCAACTCAAAAACAGAATTACTGGGCTTAAAGAATATGCTGTTGAAGCATCTTGAACATAAAGGGTCAGCAGTAATATTCACAGTGCTGTGAGGGTATTTACAGTGATGCAGCAACTGTGACATGACAGTAGTAACATGCTGATGTTTCTCACATTCACCATGTGTAACATTTACTTATTGGCACAGTTTTCAGCTATGGCATCAGTTTTGCAGGTATTTGATCATAAGCTTTAAGTTTTTAATAGGTTTTTAAGTTGTGATAATTCATGCTGAGGGTAACATAAATTTCTGTACTGCATATCATAGCAATCAGTTCACTATTCAGTGAGACATAGACATGTGAAAAAGTAAGTACATGGACTCTTTGAAATTATGTCTACAGGCAAAGGCAACATACTTGGATGCACACTTGGAATTTTTTCTTTTTCAATCATTTGTTCAACAAAAAATCTCAATAGACATAATATTTGTGCCTAAGATGTTAACTTTGTCCCCTTTAGTATAAATAATTTCTTGTAGGTGTTTTGCAACTTGACTGTAATATAAGCTTGCTTTACTGGCAGGCTTTACTGTTTCACATCATGGCCAGGGTACTACAGATGAAAACTAGCCTTCTGGCTAATTCTGGCTTTTTTAACCATGTGTAATCATGTGTTTTGTGAAATTGCGCTGTCCCCTTTTAAATAAACTAATCTAATCTTAAATTTATTGAACATTCTTCTGTGCAGAATTCCTTCAGTAGCAAGTTAAGTGGTTTTCTTGCATGCACCGCCTGTTTTAAATCTCACCGCAACATTTCAGTGAGACTCAGTTATTGGTTATCACAAGAGTTTTCCGTAACCCTCTATTTCTATTTTTGAGACCTTCTTTGTGGATTTGTTCATATGTTTCGGATCATTATCCTGTTGAAAGGTCTACATGTGGTTCAGCTTCATCTTTTGGGCAGATGCCCTCATGCTATCTTCACACACTCTTAAATACAATGCAGAAAATTTAGCTGAATGAATTTTTAGGAATCTATGACTCCAGTCTCTGAGACAGCAAAGCAACCCCAAACCATAACGTTTCCATCTCAAAGTTTCAGTATGAATATCTCCTTAAAAGCTACCCTTGTTTGCCAGTAAATATCTCTACTGTTACTGTGGCCAAACAACTCCGTCTTTCACTCATCTTTCGATGGCAAACTTTTGCTGGCATACTTCCTATGCAGGTCAAATTTGTGCAATGTCTTTCTGATTGAAAATGTGTCCACTTTGACATCAGCAGCTGAATCCTGTGAAAATGAAAATAAATGATGGGTTTTTGGATCCATTTGATCTTGCATTAAATGGTCAGCTCTTGGGCAGAATTTGCTGGGGCGACCAAGCCTGGACAAACTGGAGTGGCTTTAATCCCTTGTCAGACTCAAAGGCATTTGGAACCTTTTTTTTTTCTGAAGGCCAAATAGTGTTTTTGAGATTTTGGCATGACGATACCACACACTTCAATAGCAAACACAACAGCAGACTGTAGATGTCAGCCAGGTTCCTTGTGTCAGTGTCAAAAGACGTTTTAGTCATTGGCACCTAATTTGTTATTCCTGCTCCTAATTTTATGAATTTGAAGGTCTGATAAATGTACTTAATTGTTTATATAACTGATTTGTTTTGTTGTTGTTGTTGCTGTTTCATTTTTAACTCTATTCAGGACTTTTGGGGTTTTTTGGAACCAGGGCCATTTGGTTTAGGTGACAGGTATTGTTTTTTTGTTTTTTTTTTGAATATTTATTTATTTTTAAATATAAAAAGAGGTACATTTGTCATCCATTTGGATTAACAACTGCATCCACAATCTGCAATTAGCAAGTCAAGTGCAGCGAAGGAAGATAAGGAGACTTTTACAAGAAAGTACCGGATGTTTGTCCACAAGAAGTGGTGCATGGACTTCATTTATATGTAAAGGTAAGACCACAACAACTTTCTTTTTTTCTTTTAAATGAAATGTGCATTGTGGGCTACAGTTTGTGTGTATAAAGAATGCAGATATGAAACATAACCCACAAACTGTTGCCAATCAAATGGCGACTGAGCGACTCTGTAGAGTGCATATATTTGTAAATCTGATTCTGATGAAGTCAGGGCCTCACCAGCCATGAACCTCACCGCACGTCACTGAGTTTAAGTATACCATCTGTGTTAATGAGGACTGTTTCAAAAAGGATCAAATGTTTCCTTGTCCAGATATGTCAGAGAAGCTAATAATTTCAGTGTGAAATACAAAGAAGTTGCAAATGAAATTGGGGATTCCCTTCGTCCTTTATGCTGTGCTGTGGGGGGACTTTGCTGGCATGCTTTTCCCCTACTACAGTAAAGTCAATGCAAATCATTACAAAGTTATTACCATTATCCTATGATGAAACATTTCTATTCTGATGGGAGTGGTCTCTTTCAGGGTGACAATGTCCCCATCCATGGTGTACGAGATGTCATTGAATGGTTTGATGAGTATGAAAATGATATAATTCATAAGCTATGGCCAGATCTCAATGCAGTTCAACATCTACTGGGCTGACATGCTAGACAGTGCTCTCCAGCACCATCACTAAAACACCAAATGAGGGAATGTCTTTTGGAAGAGTGTTGTTACAGAGTTTTTATCGCATCAATTTATCGGCGTGCGCTAAAGTGTAAAGAAAGCATGGCTTGATTGAATGTTGCTTAAATGTAAAAGCATGCACCCTCGTGAGTGGGTTTGACCTCCTGAGTCTCCCCCTTTCTCTCCCTCCTTTTCCATCCTTCTCACATGTGCTGTCTGGCAGTGGATACCCGACCTTTCACACACTGACACACTGCTCCCACAAAAAGCACCATGCGCTTATGACATAAACAAAAACATTACAAGGAAATAATTGTTAAGCAATGTCATAACACCACAGCCACAATTTAAAATAAGTTAAAAAAGGATCCTCTGTTGATGTTCAAAGGGGCATTGTCAAGCCAACTTTTCAGTGGCATTAAGACTTTCTACATGACAGGAAAACATTAATTCCAAAGCTTTAGTTGTAGTCTGGTGATGAATGAGATTTACTTAATGTAGAAGAAAAAATATACATCAAAATACTATAAGCATCTTGTATTAACGTTATGAAAACAGAACCAGTCATGTGAGTCAGTAATGTTGAGAAACAAGGAAGAATTACTGACTCTGATGTCCGGTTACCGGCCTGAAAGGGCCTGGTCCTCAGGAGCTACAATCTACAACAGCCTTGGGATCATGTTGTCCCTTTTCATAACAAGGGAAGCAGATGGAGTACAGCACAGAGCAGATGGACTGAATGACTTGAGGGTTTTAGCACAACCCGGCAGTTCAGCTAACCTTACTTCCTTTATACATCAATTCAATGCTGTTATAAGGTACCAGAATCCATCATCTTACCTCTTTGATAACACTCCTGTGACCTCTCTCCTTTAAAAAACCTTCACTCCATTGTGGCCTCAGCTTTTTTTCTGTTACATCTGCTGCATGTGTGTGTGTGTATGCCCTCCCCCCTACTTTCCTTCACACACACACACAGGCTTATCTTCTACTTCCGTGTCTGTGCTGCACTTGACAGGGCAGGAACTGCACAGGCGCACATGCCCTCTACCGCCATGACACTCCCATCGTCACTCCACTGAAGGGTGGTTTCAAAATCCACCAGCCATGTGCTCGCCCTGTATTTCTGGGAGCTCAGCAATAGGACAAAAGAGAGGGAAGGGGGCGGTCACAGCAGGAATAACTCCTCCTGTTCCTTTTTCCTTCCACCAATCAGCGTACTACATTATGGTCTGCCCTGCTTTAAACAGGCAGGCAGCAGAGGGAGTGAGAAGAGCGAAGCAGCTTTTGGCTTCACACTCAGTAGAGTTATATGTTATATCTAGTAAATACCACACAGCTGGAGTTTCCCTCTGCTCCTCTGCCCATGCCCCTTTTTATTTCTCAGTTTCACTGTGCCAGCAGTTATTTGAATCTAACCAGCTTGTATAGTGTGTAGGTTTGCATCAGTTTCATAATTACAGATGGTGTGAATACATTTACACAACTGACAAAACCAGCTCGTCAAGCACAACCTGTAAAACATGACATCGCACTTTAGGTTACCAGTTTCAGTCAGCTTTAAGGGAGGAACTTTAATGGCTGCTTTTTCGATCCAAATATACCAGATGGGTGACTCAGTGCCTTCCTTTTCAGTGAGACACATCTGACATAAAGTCATTAAGTGAAATGCTAGAAATAACTCGGAGGTGTTCTAAAAATTTAAAGCGAATTAAAAGATTGTGACGTAAGAATGTGCAATAATTAGCAGTTCTGCTTAGAAAGATGGCTGTTTGGATTGCAACAGCTGGGTTGTGACAGTCCATCCTTTGTTCAGCATGCAATATTGTGTCAAGACTACTGCACAGCTGATAAAAACTCCTGCCATTACTCCAGCCCAGGATACTGTTAAGTACATGAAAGGAGAATGACAATGATGATGAGGATGTTAGTGAAGAGCCTGGCCTAGAGGGCAGCCCAGAGCCCCCTGAAAACAAAACTGTGGTTTCAGCTTTGCAGGCACTTATGAACCTTTTGTCGTTGTAGAAAAAGGTCAGTGTGCAACTTCACTTGAAAAATCAGAAAAACTGAAATGGACTCAAGGTGTTGTCGGGGGTGGGGGTGACTTTTGGCACGAATTGTCATGAAATCTTGACAGAAACATTGATGTCTGCCTTTGGATCAGTTGCAAAAGCTGCACAATCATCATCACATTTTTAGCAAATAATTCCCAATCTGATCTTTTCACAAAACAAACCAGCATGTGCTTTTGGGAGCTTACACAAATCAGTCAAAACAGTGTGTTTTTTCAAGGTTGACAGCTGCAAGTAGTAGGCTGGCATCTTCAAGTCAAGGCTGAGAATGTAAGAGCATTTTCAATGTTGAATCATTATCAGTATAATTAGGCTGTTTTGATAGGAATTTGAAAACAAAAAAAAGACTATTTTCAAATGTTTTCAACATGAAAACATATTTCTAAACAGTAATGTTAATCAGTTAAAAATATAATATGTAAAACTCCCTTTAAAGTGACTCACCTAATTCAACACAGGTGCAGCCAGTTGATGCTAGAAGTTACACAATCAGTAAAAATGGAGTGCAGTGAATGTCTCAGTGATTGTAATATGAAGACACTTGTATCTGGAAGGTCGAGTCACTAAAGAATCAATACTCCTGGATATAACTACACTATGAAGACACTCCAATAAACTCTGTGAAATGGTTCTTGAAAAGACGGAGGATGGAAAGAAAAATCACAAGTCACTGAATATCCCTGGCAGTACAGTTAAATCCATCATTGAGAAATGGAAGGAACTGGGCATCGTCAAACACTGAGTGCAAAAAAGGCCACCGAGACACCTATGGCTCCTCTGACTTAAAAACTTGAGCAACTGAGATGGGAGAGGCTGTACATATAACAACTATTGCCTGTTCTTCACAGGTCAGAGCTTTATGGGAGAGTGCCAAAAAAGCCACTGTTATGAAAAGCTCATATTAAATCTCAACTACAGTCAGCGAGAAGGCCTATGGGGGAGACTCTAAAGTCAAATGGAAGAAGGTTCTTTGGTCTGGTAGGATCAAAATTGAGCTTTTTGGCCATCAGACTAGATGCTGTGTTTCAAAGATACCAGACACTGTGCCCATCATAAACATACCATCTCCATTGTGAAGCATGGTGGTGGCAATATCATGATGTGGAGATGTTTCTTGGCATAAAGACAACAAGGTGAATGTTCGTGAGTGGCAGAGTCAGAGGCCAGACCTTGATCAAATTGAGAATTTGTATCTGGACTTAAAAAGGGCTATTCACTGATGATCAATATGGAACCTGTAAGGGCTTTAGCGGTTTTGCATTGAAGAATGTGATAAAATAGCAGTGTCCAGATGTGTGTGGCTAATTGTCTCTACAGGATCAAAAAAAAAAAAAAAAGTCATAAAGGAGTAAATAAAGAGAAGGGTACATCCTTTTTATAGGCACTGTATACATCAAACATCTACAAAACTGTGACTAAAATCGATGTTATATTGCATGACACACCTTTCAATCAATGAGAATCTCATTGTTTAGCTAATGCAATGTAAGAAGATTGCGTGATAATATCAAATTTAGTAATGTGATTTGTCAAGGCTTTAAAAGTTCTCTACAGAGGGCAGGCATGAACAGGCATTAGATTAGACCACTTGCTGAAGTCAAGTTAAAAATCTGCAGGACAGCACTGTAGTGAATCTACTAAACCTTTCCTTATTTGTGACAAATTCTGCATTGTTACATCATCTGACTTAACACAAAACACTAAAAAGCATCTGCACTTCTGTCAGGATTTTTGAATTAAATCTATTTCTTTATCAGTATTCTGAATTACACAAGATATGACCTACCTGCTTGTGGGAATGGGAGCACAGAGTCACTACTGGTGAGAGGTTACACAAGTACAGCGTTGCTCAGGGTTACTCCGCTAAGATGTGTAACAGTGCAGTGGCCTTCTGATCTTACTCTCTGTAGAGTATGAATGCACAGTGAGTTGAGGGCTTTGTACTTGTGGTCTGTAGTCTGGATCTCTGAATCTGCGTCATGTGACCGTAGAGGGCTGAGCCAGGGGGTTCAGTTTGGTAACCAAAGTCCTGAGCAGCAAAAGTAGGTGGATGAAGGGAATGAGGACAGAGGGAGGAAAGAAAGGGGAGAAGAGGAATGAAGGAAAGGAGACTCAAATGTTAGGCTAAAAGTAGGAAAAAGGTATAGATGAAATCCTACATGGACAAGAAGGTACTCCCCATTTGGGTAGGGCAAATGCAGACAGCCTAACCAACCAGAAGATGACTTTGGACAGCTTTCTGAGTGGGTGTTTCGTCGGGGTCAGTCTGGCTTTTGTTCAGCACAAATTCCAGCTCAAATGAAAGACCCCTGTTGAGCACTAACTTCACTAGATGGCATTTCATTCGTGTGCCCTTGCACCCACCTCTGCACCGACTGGTACTACATGTTCCTTTTTTAAATAATAACAAAATTCTTGACAATGGCTTGGCTTGGCTTGAAGCAAATTACTTTTGATGCAGTACATTAAAATGATTCCTAGCTGTGGGATTAAGACACCGCCTAGAAGTGTTTTTCTAATTCCTACAAGAAAACAAGTTTTTCTCTTGTTCTGTTTGGCCGGTTACAAATCAAATTACATGTATCAGACCTGCTGCAAAAAGTTGCATTTCCACTTGTCGAACATAGAAAAACACAATGAGGGGTGCACGCTGACCCACGCAGACTTGGGTAGATGATGAAATTTATTTAAATTAATTTATATGAACTTTAGTGCCAAAAACTTTTTGTAACAGCAAATCAACTGCATTTACCAGCAAAGAGTGACTGATCTTGGAACGTGTTTTTATATATCAAGTAAATTTAAAAGATCAGTGATGTGCATGTCACAGTTTCTCATAGTGCTGTCTACTACAGCACCATGTTTGCTACATGGCTACTTTAATGTCTGTCCAAATGTGGCCACTGTTTCACAAAACTCTCCAAAAATCCTTATTGTCTTCAGAATATTGTTTGACTTCCGATACAATCATGTTCTGATATTTTTTTTATAAATAATGTTTTTCAGGACTGTGTTATGGCCACAAAAGGAACATCAAATTGCATTGAAACTGAAACTCCTCATTATGTTAATAAAGGGAATCAAAATGAGAAAAAATATAGTTTAACAAGTTCTCACAGCCGACTACTAGAACAAGCGATGCACTGTGTGTAAAAATGGACAAGTAATTGTTCCAACAGCTTTGTACAATATCACACTGTCTGTGCCACCATCACCAAATATAGAAAACCTTTTTCAAGAAACCTCTTAAGCAGATGTTGTTCCTCTTCATAATGTCTTTTTCCATTGTACCTAATAACTTTTAATGATGTTTCTGAGCATTAAGGAACTTGTTGTACATACTGTGAGAGGATCCAAACCATCAAACAGCTGTTCAGTTTAGAAGGTATCTCCTCATTACACCTTCCTCTTTGCTCTCCTAACCTTTGCTAAATTTAACAAAATATCACTTCCTGTTAAATATGTGTTTATTATTGTGAGCCAAAGATACCGATGTCCAGTCACAGGACATCAGTGTTGTTTTGAACAAAACTTCATGACTGTACATAGAGGGTACTCTGGTGACCTGGGGTCATGGCGAATATTTGTGTAGAAGCACAATACTCTGCTTTCTTTTTCAAAACTGCTGGGGCTCTGTGTTTAAACAAATATGTCTGTGTTTTTGGTACTGCGTGAACTGTGCAAGTGAGTCTGAAAGAATCACTTGTTAGACATCGACAGGAGGGCAGAGAGAGCTGAGGATCCACAGATGAAATTTCTACCACTGAGAATCTATCATTAATAAGATGCCAAACATAAGACAATGCACACTTGACCTTCAGTCTCTTTCTGTTGTCATAGTAACTGCTGACGCACGCTTTAACCTAATTACTT